CGCCCAAGCGGCTATTAGTGAGCTCAAATCCAGCCCCCGGGTAAGCGTGGTACCCGCGTACGGGCCTCCCAAATTCTTTCCCGCGCGAATTCATAACTCGAGGTTTTGAGATGCTAGAAAGCTGAAATTTTATGGGAATATTCCCTGTCCAAGCAGGCGCTAATGAGCTCAAATCCAGCCCTCGGGTAAGCTTGGTACCCGCGTACAAGCCCCCCCCCCCCAAAAAATTTTTCCCGCGCAAATTCATAATTCGGGGATCTAAGAAGCTAGAAGGCTGAAACCTTACGGTAATACTCCCCGTCCGAGTGGGTATTAGTGGGCTCAAACCCAGCCTCCGGTGTAAGCGTGGTACCCACATACGGGCCCGCCAAAGTTTTTTTCGTGTAAATTGATAACTCAAGTACCTGAGAAACTGAAGGGATGCAATTTTAAGAGGATATACCCCGTCCACCTAAGTTTATTCAGCCCGAACCCAGCTCTCAGGTATGCTTGGTAAGCATGCACGGGCCCGTGAAAATTTTGTTCCAGTAACTTGCTAACTCAGGTGCCAGGGAAGCCAGAAAGTTGAAATTTTAAAGGGAATGTTTTCTGACAGTTCTAGTGGCCAGTCTTAATTTGTTTAACTAGAAGCATTTGCCGAAAAAATCGGTGTCGGTAGCAACAAAAACTGCGGGGAACCATGCAGAAAACGCATCTTCGCACGGGCAGCCCATGCGTTGGCCAATTATTCTCTTATGAAGACGTCACTGGTGAGAAAATGCTTCCAGGCTTTATGTAACAGAAGTATGAAAATCGGGTTGAGTTGTGACCCTTTCTGTAATTCGATCTTCAGTGTGACTTTTCAAACCAACTTTCACTTCATATCTGTTTCCGGTGTACCACTGCAAACTGGAATGACACGACTGAATTTTCTGTCCGAATTAGAGGGATCGATGTGCAATATGTGTCCAGAAATGCCTCCGGACGTGATACCTGAGGTTGCATGTGCCACTGAAACTGATGAAAATGACGTGGACCTCGGGACAACCTGCCAACCGTGTAAGTTATTCACTGCACCACAGTTTGCTTTATTTTATAACCGAAAAGCTTGCCTATTTTTCGCTTGTTAATTCGGGTCGGAAAGGATATAGAAATCTTGCACCTGTTTTAACCTTCTCTACGAGAAGCTGGGATTTTGCAAAATCTGCGTGTTTCATGTGGGGCGCTCTCCAGAACGGTAGACACATATAGAAGGTAGCAAAAGCGCAAGCACCTATACATTAATGTTGCAACCTTTCATAATTTCAGCCGGAATCGGGCCTAACAGGCGCCCAGAACCAATGCAGCCATATGCATTTTTGCATGAACCAAAATAATATTTTATGGCGAGATAATATATGCCTGCCTATGTGCGCGTACATCTCTTTACTGCGGTTACTGGCATAGGCGGGTTCAGAACGGACTTCTGGGGGAGAGGAGGGGTGGCGACAGGGATTGGGGAAGAGCCCCCTCCTACCCTGGAACTATGCAAAACTAGTAATAAAGTTGTAACACTGCTACTTGAGTTGCTTTATTTTTATGAAAAGGCCCCAGCTTTTGCAGCACTGGTGTCTGTGCCGTTTTAGGGGAGGAGGAGAGGGGAGAGAGGAGGGGAAGACCCTTCTTGGTTATTGGACACTGCAGAGCCACAAACCCTTCTATGGTTACTGGACACTACAGAGCCAAAAAATATGGAGAAGCGGAAGTCCTGGGAGTGTAGTTCTAGGCTATGTGAAAGCTCAGAAGCGTAAAAGCAACTTCCAAACTTATTTGCGTAGTGTCTGACTAATATGATCTGATGTATAAGCGCATCGTGCACATATGCATCGTAAATGCAGTTTCACCGGCGGAATGCGCACCCAGAACAGCCTATCGCAAATACGCATGGCTTCTGATGTGCGCTACTATTTAGCAATAACGCGCTTCCGTCACAAGTGAACTTGTCGTAACTCAAATGAAGAATTTCTTTTCTTCAGTGCCAGAATTATGTGTAGCTGAATTGCGACAAAGCTACGGAGGATTAGCGAATATGAGTATCGGAACAATGGGTAATGGCAGCGGCACAGCAGCGACACCGAATCGGATAAAGCCACTCACTCGGATGCAGCAGTTGGAAACGCAACAAGCAATCCTTTCTCCCCCAAACCTGTCAAATTTACCAGAGATCTTTGCAGTAACGGTTACGGCGCCTCCAAAATTAGCAGGCGTTTTGAGACCACTTCAGGATAAAACTGTAAATGTAACTGTCGGGGCTCCATCATTATCTGCAACCGCGACGCTACCATTTACAAGCTGGGAATATTCAGAAGAGAGTGCCGAAAATCAAATTGACGATTTTGAAACAGCGACGTTCACCGGCGAGCAGCAGGAGCACCCAGATGTGACCACCGAACACAAAAATGTTTTCAATGCGGTAATGGTGGACGACAAGCATCCTTCTTCTGAGCAGTCGTCCTTTAGCACTCCTGACCTACAAACAGTTGAAAATCCTAGAATACTCGATAACGTCAACAGAATTAAAACGGGAGACCACCGGCTAGTCTCAGTAGAGCGACAGGTGCTTACAGCGGCTAAGCAACGTGGAACATCGCCACACATACCAGTCCAAACCACTCCTGCCTCTCAGCATCATCCGACCTCAGTTACAGATTTCCACTTGGTTGAAAAATCGATGATGCTCGGTGAGTATGATACTGAAGTTACTGTGTCAGGTGTCCACTTCAACGCTAATTCTCGCACCACTGTAACCATTAGTCCATCCAAAGGATTTTTTTCAACTGCTACCACAGCCCCGCCATTTCAACTCGGCCAGATGATGTTTTCGAATGACTTCACTACTAATCCATCAATAACAACCAGAAAAACCAATACGAATACCATTCCGAGTATAACCCGTGCATCATCCACAGCCCATCCATATTCCGGACTCTTCCTCAAAGTGCCACTATTTCGACAAAAGCTAGTGTCAGAAACTGGACTCCAACTAACAAGTACTACCGCTACTAATGGCATAACAATCGCCGAACCTATGACAACAATCACAACAACAGCACCCGCACCGACCGCAGCATTAAGAACAACCCCACCACAGACAAAAACAGCAACGACACCGACACCGGCAACAACAACATTGACACCAGCAACAACAAGAAAACTACCGATACCACTGAAAACAGCAGCACCACGGACATCGCTTGCAGTACCTGCAACGACAGTATCATTTACGACATTAGCTACGCTAGCAGCATCATCACTGGCAACTTCACCAGCGACAGCAACAGTGCGATTACCCGCATTAAAAATACCACCATCAGCAGCAACAGTAGCTACAAAAACAACTGCCTCAGATACAATTTCCTCTCCTAGGGATACTGTGACGAGCATAGCTTCTACCACGGGTAAGCAGCTAGTAGATGCTCGCCCCGCTCACTTCTTCAGCAGTTCGTCAGGCACCGAAACACCACAGAACAGGCCAACAACAATCAGTTCGGCAAGCACAAACGAAACAGTCCCTCAAATGATGATTTACTTTCGTGATAGCCAGGGAAGACTGCGACTGCTGGCACCAGAAATTTCCGAATCAGCAGCGCCATTTAGCAATTCTTCAATGACACGTCCAGAAAATACTGGTTCATTCTCTGGTGTTCTCGAGCAAGCCGCCGCAAACAGCGCCAAAGAACAACTGCTCACATCAAACACCTCCGCTTACGTTGCAGTCAGTGGCGCTGCTACCAGTACGGTGGCACAAACTACGGAAGATGAGTCACAATTATATGAGCAACTGAACACAAGCGAATCTGCGTACAGACCACTAGTGCTAGGATTACCGGATGATGAACAAGATGCGAGGGCAACAGTGTCTAATGGCACTAGGCCAATAAATTATATTGACACTCAAATGCCAGCGATTCCCAGCGCTAGCTTACCGAGAGTAGACACCAGGCCACTGCCAAACAACAGTGTTCTCCTGGGCACAGCGGTGCCGTTCAAGGAAGAGCCACCGATCGCATCACTTCTTCTGTTCTCAGGCTATGAACCGAGTGCTATCGAAGCACCTCAACCGTACGGGCAGGTGGTGAGTGCTGTGGAGCGAACCTATAGCCACATCATTGCAGTGGCACCGCAAGCGTACCTACACCTGAAACCAGTGGACGGTGTGCAAGGAATGCACAGTTTGGAAGCGCAGCAACAAGCACACGAGGGAACTGTAGCTGGGGCGGGTTACGGTCAGGGACTTGTCACAAATACGGACCAATTCAGGAACACTGATGAATCACCGATTCCATTAGCTTTCTCAACGCAGCGACCTCTACTCGCTACAGGCGAGCAGCACGTTTCTGGCGAAGCGCAGTCATCATCCAAACACCGTGCAAAGGAGGATACAGTTCAAGATAAGCACGTTAGCAAAACGGATCCAGGAAGTCCTGCCTGCGACGATAAACACGAGGTTCAAATTTGTTATTCGCTCTTATGAGATTTTTTGCTGATCAGAAAGTAATTTGTTGAATTATTTTTTTTTTCTGTGCGGTAACGTCAGTTGACCAAGCCTTTTAGCTCTGCTGTTTCTGGGCGACGGTTGGTGAATGCGATAGTAATCCGTATTGGATGCGAATACAGTGTGCTAAAACTTGTGGTACCTGCAACTGCACTTGTTTGTTTCTTTCCACTTACTTTCAACTTAAGTTTTTCATATTGAAACACACAATATTTAGTGATTCCTAGGTTCCTCAGTGTTCCTACAGCTTCTGCCTCGCCCACTTTTTTCTATCCTCCGCTGCTATTACCTTCTACTCGTACTCCTTGAAATTCATTTGACTTCACAGAGGTCAAACTGCTTTCACCTGGGATTTCTGCAGTTATGCGTATTACATTTCTGCTAAATTCCTCTTTCTTAGAATCCTTGGTTGTTCTTTTCTACCATAAATCAAGCTTGCATATTCCCTCGCTGTTTTTCATTTCCTGTACACATCCTTTTACAGTGGATATGTCGCGTTAACAAAGCATGTACTTTGCAGTGAGAGAAGCAAAAAGATGTGTATCAACGGGCATTCGCTGTTACCTCGCACCGGCGTCGGCTACAACAGTAAATCAGTTTCCAACGATATCGAGTACGAGATATTCCGATCGAAGAGGCAATTCAGTTGTGTATGCATTCCCCAAAGCAACAACTTTCATCGCCACCGCAACTTTTCCGGAGTTCACACAGTTGCCGGAAATCCAGATTTCCCCCACACTGCAGTATCACAACGAAGAAAGTCATGAAGTGCAGTCTCAACCTTTTATTGCACAGGTAATTTAACAAATTGTCCTCAGACGATTTCGGATACCCAAGTGGGTAGAGAAGATCTGAAGCCTCACAGAGACGGGAGAATGCAAGTACTGATCCCCTTCTTCATACTGGAAAAACATTTCCTCGAGGTGGCAGAGCCATGCGAATTAACAATTGCTGAACTCAGTTCTAGCTGTTTCTGGAACTGTTTCCTAGAAAAAGTCGCATACTGCAATAATCACCCTTATTTTAGTGACAGTTGTTTCGAGAATTCTTTAGATAGGCGTATTTCACAGCGGTTTGCCATTTAGCCACGAGAAATTCTAGGCTTCATACGAAGCGCCAAAACGGGCACCACGACGCACAACTGAAATGCCACATATGACAACGCCAGTAGCAGCGTCAGCAGTATCAGAAACATGCTATGATCATAACAGGCATTGCAAATTTTGGGCGGATTTGGGAGAATGCGAACGAAATCCGTTTTGGATGAGATCTAACTGTCAAAAATCATGCAGGACATGTAGTATGATATTCAACAAGTTCTATGCACCTACTCCTCGCCAAGGTACTCATCCTGCATATTTATCGTTATAATTTCACATTTCAAGCTTTTTGAACGTTTTCAGTGAGAAATCATTTCCAAAAATTGCTGTCATTTTGTGCTGTTATTTGCCGAATTTCTTTGTAAAAACACGTCTTCGAGAAACCGTAGTTCAAGACGCTGTAGATGCGCCCAAAGATTCTGCTTTCTCCAGCGTGAGCGTTTTTGCAGTGTTTTTGAAGAACATTACGGCGAAGTGTATGCGTGTATGCACGTGTCTGTCAAATCACATAATTCAGGAAGCTGAAACTTTCGACCCATATTCTGTAGTCATGTACAGAGCCTCAGCTTGAAATCATGTCAGTCTTCTCCTGTGCTTTAATTGTCATTCAAATCTAGTCTAATTTTATAAATGAAAGCAAAAAAGGCTCAAAATTTTTTGAAGCCTTTATTTTACATTATTAGTTGTAGTCGCTGTGTGAGTTAAGAAATAATCTCTACAGATATTGGAAGACACCCTAGTATTAATATGCACGTTTGAAGCTAAGATGAAGGTTGTCTCCTATCCACAAACCATGTACTCTGGTTCTACTAGAAGCAGTTCGAAATATTCCCCAGCAATAAAGAATTGGACCGATTACCCATTCCAGTAATACCTCTTTTTCAGGATGCGCAAACGACCACAGGCACTGTCAGTTCTGGGCACTTAGTGGCGAATGTGAAATGAATCCAAACTGGATGCAACTGCACTGTCGTCTTAGTTGTCAGCTTTGTTGATTTTCCATCACATTTTGTCGCTTTCGAATTTTGAATAATGCGCAACTTTCTCGATCTTTAAAAGGCCAAAGTTTTAAAAAGCACAATTCTTTCAGAAAAAAACGTTTTGGGTGAAATCAAATTTAGATCTGCTAAACTAGAAAATGAATTTTTCCAGAGAGATATTGATGGGGAGTGAGAGGGGTTCGGGGGGCGAATTTTTTTTCAACTGGATCTGACAAGGGTTTAGCAGTCTGCTGAAAAATAGTGCGCCTAACCAGAAGCAAAAAATAGCATCCGGAAGCAGAGGAGCCAGGGCAAGGACTTTGGCGCAGAAGACATTGGTAGTCTGGGTGACTATAGTTGCTGTATAAAAAGATTACTTGAATGATAATTAAAAGCTGTATAAAAATTGCGTGAATAATGGCTTCTCGGCTTTTTTTGTGCATCGGTTCGACACGAGTCGGTTTCTGATCGCTACCGATTTTATTTAAATGGCTTTTCACATATAAAATGTTTGTGTTTGCTCATTAAGATAATTTTACTGCTGTTTAAATTAACCCAGGCTGGAATGCATCAGACTTACCGGTGTGGCCGTGCGTTTTTGCAACAAACTTGAAGTAATCAGGTCGTTAAATGCATGAATGATTGTTGCTTTACATCTATCTTCTGTGCCCACTACCGTAAATCATTGTAAATTTTGCATAAAGGAAAATGAACAATTTCCGTTTAGCGGTCGTTCCTTGGAAACGACCCAGCTGTCCAGTGAGCAATTTTCCCGCCAAAACTTTACGTACATGAGAAACACGCATACCCGGAAAATGAATCTTAAATATTTAAGTTGTACTTACACAAGGAATATCCTCCTTAAAATTTCAGCTTTCTAGCTTTCCTGGTTTCCGAGTTAGCAGTTTTCCTGCCAAAACTCTCACATACCCGTACGTGAGTATCACGCCTACCTGATGGCTAAATTTAAAATTTTTTAAGTTGTACGTAGACGGAGAATGTACCCATGAAATTTCAGCTGTCCAGCTTTTCCTAAAATTTAAGTTGCCGAGTTAGCAAGTTTCCTGACAAAATCTACACATGCCAGTACGTAAGAACCTTACACATCTAGAGGCCAAAATTGAAATCTTTAGCTCACACATGCACAGAGAATACCCGTGCGACGTTTCAGCTCTCTATCCTTTCTGATTCCCGAGATCGCTTCCCCGCCAAAAAAACTTGCATATTTCTTTGCGGCGTCCGTACGGGGCACCCAGGCTTACGTGGGTGATGATGTTAAAACGGGAAAGCCGTACATAGTGCAGGCGCACACTTCTGAAGTTTCAGTTCAACTCTCCCGTTGTAACATCATCACCCTGGTTTTCGAGCTCAAAGCGGGCAACAAAAAGTGCGAACACACACACACACACACACACACACAGCCTCTTACCAATATGCTTTTTTGCATTTGCATATATGCAAAAGCGCATAAAAATGAAATTCTACAATACCACTCAAATCCATGTTTGCCTCATTCTGAAAGGTCTAGAATGAAATAAACATATTTATAGTGACTTCTCTCACAAGTGCTTATTTTTCTGGCTTTTTATGGGGGTGCATGAATCAACCAGACATCTGATCACTGTTTTATGATATCTTATTCAACAATCTGTGGACTAGATTAATGTATCTACAGCTATAAAAGGTCGATAAAAATTCTGAATATTGCCCGAACTAAACCAATGCAAGTTGCTTTTTTTTGGATTTCCAATACCTGCGTTTGAATGAATGTCACAGAGGCATGACCTTCATATGCACCTGACTGTCTTTGTCATGCCAGAATGCAGGAAATTTTCGCTGCTTGTTATTTCAGTTTTCATAGTTATCTTTGTGCTGTCTTTAGTAATATAATGAAAGTTGCGGTCTACCTACATTTCACATTGTTTACAAGAGCTAAATGCATTATCGAAAAGATGCGTGGATTGATTAACCTGGCAAATTAGATCCGTACGTTGCTGGTGATAAAGTTACAAGAATTTCACAGGGCTTCAGGGTTGTGTACCTTTTCACTTTGCGAGAAATGACTAAATGTGCCGACGTTGATCGGTGGTTAATTCGGACAGTTCGGGCGATTTTACTCATTTTGCCATTCTTTCGCTACCCCTCTCCGGATTCTCCCGGTACATCATTCCCGACCCACTCGTTTATCTTCAAGGCCACCAATTCCTTTCGTCGGTCAGCAGCACGACGCTGATGCTAAAGATAGTGATGTGTGGGAATCCATCCAATTTCGCTTGTTGCTCCAATTTTCATTGTTATCCTTACGCAGCTATCTTCATCCGGCCTTCGCCACGGTCACATCTTTCTTATCCAGTTCCTCTTTCTCGAAAGCGACAGCTGCAGGATGTCTTTCAGCAAAGCAGTCGAAAAAAAAGCTCCAATGCAGTGCAACGTGTCCAGCTTTTTCCGTCAGTGGCCCCAATAACAATAAGCTGCAGCACACCAAGGAACCAACAAAAGCGTGCATTTTTTGCACAGTCAGTTACAAAGTACTTACGCTCGCCTGCATAATGTAGCGGAACAAGCTCACAAAATAACCATTTTGATTGCGGATTTATAAAACTATCAAAGTTAACTCCCACGTTTCCACGCATGAGACCTAAACATGCATGAATGAAGACTGAACGGTTATGGGTCGCACATGGGCACGGGACATTTTCGTAAAATTTCATCTTCTTGGCTTCTCTGGTTGCTGAGTGCACATCCTGAGCGGATATCTGAACAAACGCACATACGTATAAATACGCAGAGTGCAGACAATTTTTGTTTTTACGTTGCATCATTTATGTAACCCCAGGCTGAAACGCACCAGGCTTGCCGGTGCGGACATGCGTTTTTGCAATAGACTTGAAGTAATCAGGTCGCTAAGTGTAAGAATGATAATTGCTTTATATTTTTCATGTGTGTCATTAGCATAAATCATCGTATACTTTGCATAAAGGAAAATGAACAATTTTCATTTAACCGTTGTTTTTATGCGTTTTTGCTGTGCGTTTCCGAGAGGTCGTCTGTGTATGTTCAGAAGCGAGTGCATTTTGTTACCCACTTTCATTTCAGCAACCAGGAAAGCTGGGAGGCTGGAACTTTGGGTATATGTTCCTACCCCGTGTGTCACCCTCCCGTTTCGAGACTTTCCCCCACACACGTCTAGACCCTGCGTACAGCCCTCCGAAGAAGAAATGCAAATTTTCGTTGGCGGGAAACGATATCGTAAACCAGATAAAGTACAGAGCTGAAACTTTACAGGGATATTCTCTGTGCACGAGCGAGCTAGAGATTTCAAATTCAGCTGCCGCGCACGCTCGTGAAGCGCGTATGACCACATCAAAGTTTGCAACTTGGTATTGTGCTAACTCGAAAACTTGCCGGAAAACAGTGGCTGAAATTTTATCAGCATGTTTGTCGCCCATATGGCAAATCGTAAACCTAAAATGAGTGCCGAGTTGCACTTGCGCCGCGACTAAGGTCACTTCGAAGGTATTTGTAGCGAAGTGGGTGTTTCGCTTACCAGACAGGTTGCGAGGCTGAAAATTCGTTGGAGTATTCTACTTTCAAGGCGGTCTTAATTCTGCTTGGGCGTGAGAAATGCCCAATTTTACCGAAAAACCAGAAATGAGTGCGTTTTGCAGCGAACGACCGCCCTCGTCCAAATATGTAAATCAACATTAGTTCATCTGTATACTTGGGTTTTTTAATAAGCGACCACTTGAGTAATACTTCCACTTTCTAGTGAACTGGAAGTCTGCATTTTTCCAAGAAATTAGCATTTACCGAAAAAACGGCCAAGCTTCATACAAAAAACTGGTAATCATGTACCTGGAGGTCCATGCGACTCTGCGATTCAACACCCTCATCCCAACCGATGCCCATTCTGCTGCATGCCGGAAGAAACCAAAGCACGGCCAATATGAGACCAAGTATTTGGCTGCAGCGCAGGGATTATTCCTTCTATTAGTGACTCGCGAATTTAGTGCAAAAATGCATGATCACATCGGCAAGCCTGGTGCATTCCAACCTGGGTTTGAAAATGACTTAGCTGTTCGGCGAGCAACTTAGCTGTCCATGCATACCTGGGAGCTGAATTTGAAATCATTGAGTTGTACGTGCACAGAGAACATCTCCTTAAAATTCCAGCTTTCCATCTTGTTTGGTTCCCATAATCGTTTTCCCGCCGAGAAATTTGCATCTTTCTTTCAGGTGCCCGTGAGTGGGACCCAGGCCTACAATGATGATGTAAAAACGGGAGGATTGAACAGGAGGTGTAGGCAGTTAACTGCCATTCTAAATTATTTTTAGTTTCGGCTATGTAGTTAAAGTTGCATAATTGAATAGGAAACAGAGGAATCTTCCAGCCGTGAAAACATTTATTTTTCGCTGTAATTTATGTGCAAAAAGAATTCTGGAGTGAGATGTTTCCAAACTGCGTTCAGTATCAACTGTGAGCTGAAGTTAACGATCCGATGACTATTTGGTACGTACTAGAAATTCTTTTTTTAGATGGCAGGGAATCAGTTAACAGCTTTGGACAGAGTAACAGCGCCAAATGCTGTGTCCTGCCACTATAACTGACATACGCAGTACACTACTACATATTTTACTTGCAAATGGTTCCAGAAACAGCTTTTAGAGAAGTGAATATTGAATAAACGGCGAAAAGAAATGTCTTATTATCACGGATGGACGAAATCGGTATAGACGTATTCGTTCAGTTTTTCATTCAGCCCGCAGTATGGTGAAGAGAGAAGAGGACGCAAATGAATAGGAAGAGGCGCCTAAGCCACGCGCATCCGTGCACCTAGTCTAATTTCATATGCAAAACACTATCCAGCAATGAGGTCTTGGTTGTTCGCTCAGGCACAGTTCCAGAGAATTCAACCCAGGCTGAAACGCACCAGGCGAGCCGGTGCGATCATGCGTTTTTGCACAATACTTGAAT